GAAATATTGCTAAAAGCGGCGTAAAACCACTCACTCTCACTCACTATATTTATATATATGTATTGCCATTTTGATCATAATAATAATTCCTTTGTTCTTGGCAACATGATTTCATAATATTGCTGTAGCTTTAGACGAGTTCAGATTTGAAGGATGTTATAGAAGATTTAAGATATGTTCACTAATCATGAGTGTCGCTACCTTCACTGATGCTACCAGACACAGGGGGTGAGCGTTTTTCTTTGTGCTGCAAGGTTAGAAACAAGAGGCCTATTTTCGAAGCAATCTCAACCAAATAGATCTTTCTACCATCTGGGCTAGGCTGGAAGAAATCAACCCAGGTACATAGCCACTATCACAGACAATACGTAATCAAATGATAGAACATGACACATAATCATAACTTAGCTTTATGCTAAGATGGTCTTGGCCAGGAGAGTACAATGGTCTTGGTATTATGATTGCTCCGAGGATATAGCCCCAAACTTTCATTCTTATGTAATACATGTTCATATGAGAGTTTCATAATAAAACAAAAATTTCTATACATCTTTCTTTTGTCAATTGAGTGATTGTTACCTGATTATATAAAAGCTATAATGATTCACAAGGATTTGGCGCAACGCGGTATGTTGTGTATCGATATGAATATTGTGTCATAAGATCATGCAGGGATAATAAGCACATTATTTGGCATATAAAAATGAGATAAAACTTTTCTGGTATATGCGAGATTATTTCAAGTTAATGTATGATACCATTTTACAAACTATGTTTGGGTTGCATCCCAATTATGATGGCACATGACTGCTTAACATGGCAAAGTTGTCACGTATTGAATCACAATATTACTAACGCGATACATCATATTAGCCATCATACATCATATTGAGACAAAGTGCTACAGCTCTACTACATAATAAAAACAACAAAAATCATTTCCATATTCATAAGAGGAGCAGAATACATTGCACAATTCTAACTATATGATAAGCATGTGTTTATGAATCTCTATCAAAAAGTGATGCCAGGTGTTTGTAAAAAGATGGGCGTATCCTGCCCCACCATTGGCACCTGGCACAAACACATGCAAAGGCGAGTCAATTATTGACCTAAAAAAAGATGATACCAAAAGCTGGACTTGCTGCAATACTGCTTGACATTAAGGGAAAGTTGACTCTTGGAAAGTTGAAGTCATCCCTCTTGTCATTCAGCCTTATGGAGAGTTTTTTGTCACTCTGAATTTTCATGCATAGATCTGAACATGAAACAGAGGACAGTCTCACTGGTCTCTTCTATTTCTGGTTCAGGCGGGTAAATCAGTGGAAAGGAATTGGCTAAATGACTGTTGTTGAATGATACAAGGTCATTGGTAAACTTGGAGCCTAAATTAAACTTCTTGGCCAAATTCCCTTGTTTGATTTTGCCCAATCTCATTAAAATCAGATCTAAGTTCTTGCTGCCGCTAAGCAAAGATCTGAGGACATCCCATTATGGGTCATGTCAGAACGACCTTTCGCGAACTTTGATCGATCACTGAAATGAATAACAAGAAGTCCACATCAGCCGATTAGAAAGCAGCTTTCTCGAGCTTTACAGCACTTGTTTCAACCTGGTGACTTCCATTACAGGCTACGCTTGAAAAATATGTTTACACAGTTCTCGATAAAAAATTTGAAAACTGAACAAACGAACATTCAGGAATGTCTAATATATGGTTGAGATTGTATGGCAGTGCTTCCTACATACTGTGCAATGCCTCCTCCGTTCAATTATTTATCCCATGGAAGGGAGAGATAGACAATAAGTTTGACAGAATCAGTTGTATAGGCAGTAACTGTCATTCTGAATACCTCGTGTTAACGTTTTTGAGGTTGCATGATTAGAAAACACATTCCAACTGTCTCTTTCATGATCTGGTAAGCGACGCTTTGATTGAAAGGTCGTTCTGATGTGACCCATAATGGGATGTCCTCAGATCTTTGTTTAGCGATAGCGAGAACTAAGATATGATTTTAATGAGATTGGATTTTGCTAATCCAAGCAGAAAGTCGATTCAAAAACATCAAGAAACAGGTCAGCAAGATGGGGAGCAAAACTGGTGCCAATGGGGATGCCTGCTTCTTGCCCAAATTATAAGACATATCAGCATTGGTAACCAAATTCTGGACATGTCCCCATTATCAAACAAGTCCTTGCTTCAGGAAATGTAACTTTGACTTATTTGAGATATTGCATGTGCATGTAGTCCCACCATTGAGTTATCATCTTCTGTTTGTTTGTTTGTTTGTGTTTTTTTTGGTTTATTTGTTTCTTGTTTAACGCTGCATTCAGCAGTGTTCCAGCTATATGATGACAGCTTGTACATGATTAGGTCTGGCCCAGACAAACCAGTAACTTGGGTATGATGAAACACAATCCACGCAGTCACAGAGCCTGGCAACATGATCCATTGTGTCACAACCAGCATACCACACTGTTGGTATGCAGTCCTCAGAATGGTGGCTTAGGTGGTACTTTTGTGTGTTTTTCTATTATTTCCCTCTAAAGCAACAAGAATTTCATTTTCATCTGAACATATATTTTTCTGTTCCACAAATGGAGCAAAATGGAAGACTCCCAGGTAACGATAACAGGCTTGTCCCTGAAGACATGAAGAGCGGTAGTGGGTTGGTGGAGAAATTTCCATCTGTATTCCGCTTCAATGATTTACAGCAGAAAGGTTATCTAGGTGATACCTGCAGTCTTCACAGCAGATATTACTGTGCTTGACATTCAGGTCAAACCCCAAAACTGCTTGGAAGGTATTAGTTCCAGTCAAACCAACAATTTATCATTGTCTTCAGTCAGTGGTCAGAAACCATGAAGAAAGGGTTAGTCTCCATTAATCTACATCACAATATACCTACACTCTTATCATAATAGACTTCCACTAAAGTTAGTATATTTCAAGTCTGAGCAAGTGTGATAATACCTTACTTAAAATGGCCCAACCCATGGTTATATTTTGATAAACAACAAATATTAAATTATTGAGCATGCCAGTGATTAATACCTATTCAATAGCACCAATATCTTTTTCAATAGAATGACATCAAACAATATACATTGTTTGTTTGTTTGTTGTTTAAGGCCGCACTCAGCAATATTCCAGCTATATAACGGCGGTCTGTAAATAATCGAGTCTGGACCACACAATCCAGTGATTGACATTATGTGCATCGTTCTTTTTCATTAATGAAGTTCATGATCCATCACCTGATTGTCTGGTTTGTCACTGGTGTGTGGCGTCAGGTAAAAAACAAACATTTACTTTTTTAATCAGTTGTGTGAGTGGCAGGTGCTACGTCGCCTACCGGTAAGGCAAGACTAGCATACCCTTTTCAAGAAACCCTGGTGTCATCACTGATTTTCAGTGATCCATTCATATAATTTACACCCCTGTACAAAGTAGCTATAGTTCAACATTTGATGGCATTACCTACTTCCATAGCCAAGAAGGGACACACCCATCTATTCAATAGTGGAATCCCAGCAAGCCTACAGTTGCACTGGGAAAACCCAAGAAAGACCAGCTGTAGAATAGTTGCAACTGTAAAAGGATATATTAACAAGGCATATACTTGCTTATTGTCAGAACAAATTGTAAATGTTTCACGTGAATCTAACGGCATAGAGAAGCTATGACCTTTTGACACTAATGTCAGTGTGACAACAAATCTTTAAAAAAAAATATTTCAAAATAAGTATTTTATTTGGATTAAAAATATTTTGTTTCTTTGTTTATTGTTGAACTCAGCAATAGTTCAGGTACATGGCGGGTGCCTGTAAATAAACAAGTGTGGAGCAGACATTGATGTTATTATGAGTGATGACATCCAATCAGTCAAGTCAGTGAACCCCACCACCAGATCCGTTACATTCCTTCTTATGCTGCTGGGGACTTAGGGTCATTAGTTTATCCCCATTCTGCCGCTTGCTTCAGGCCATATTCCCACACAGAACGTTCCATTCAAGGTTCTTCCTTAATTATTATAGCAAACTAAGATATGTCAGTTCCTCTTGATTTAATCTCTCGAAATGTTATATGGAATGAATGCCTAAAAAGATAAAATCCTTTGAGTGGAATAGAGGATTTGTATTTTCTTGTAGCTCTAAACTGGAATCATGCCATCAGTCAGTAATTCTAGCAGTCAGGGGTGCTATATTTATTTCCGATATCATGTTTACACGGGGATGGATAAACATGCTATATCTTCAATAAATGAGATTCAGTTTCAGTGTAAGTGTTGAAGAGGGATACAGATTCACAGATTGTGAGACTCATCTTAACCCTATATCTCCCTTCAGCATGTTTTTGGAAATCTTATGGCAACACAGTGTAAGTCAAAGTGTATCAATAGTAATTAAATAAACCAGTAGTCAACAGATGAATAATGGCCACACAGATCTCACAGGGTAAGAACACTATTCTCAGATTTTCGGCCTTTCTGTTTAGTTTGGTTTACGGATCTGCAAAAAATAAAAATACCAACAAAAAAACAGAGAAAAAAATGTGATCAGTATGGCAAGCTTTTATACACCGATGATGATTAAGCTTGTTTCGACAATAAAATGGCAATGAAAAACCTGTCAGATTTTAAATTTATAATATTTATAATCACCAGGACCAGGACAAGATTTTTTATCAACTACCGATCCAAATGAAACTTTATCATGATCAAAAATTTTCCGCATAATGCATTTTATTTTAGTATTTTTCCGACCTACTGACTAAATGTTTTACTATCAAAATGTGTAACACCTCCCAACCCCCCGACAAAATGGTCTGTACACATATCTTCCTACACACATATATAATAGTGGAATTGATGTGGCAGCAAAGATCTCACAGTGCAAGTCAATGTTTATCAATGGTGTTCTCAGAAAGTAATAGTATATACAAAAAGTATTCCTAAAAAGGTTTCTACAGCTGATTCACTCTGTTTTTGTGTTTGCAGCAAGAGTGTGCAGAAGGAGACCCGGTATAGATATTCATCCTATACAATGCGACGATGTAGTGCTTCCGACTCGGGGACGGCCGCTGTCAACGGGGGCAATTCAGTTTACATCAGTCGGAAGTCTCTCGCAGCCACCACAGACAGGGTTAATTGAGAAGCGTGTCAGAAAGCATTGCATTAATGGATGTTCACCTCTGCCCAGCACATCCTAAACTGCTTGCCAATTATTTTGGTTTGGCTTCAAATACGCTTGGATACTTCTGTTTCCAATGTGAAGAAAAAAAGAGAAATATCAAAGAGGATGCACAAGATGTTACTCTTGCTGAAGATTTCAGCTGTGACCTGGAATAGAAGCTTGGGAAAATGTTAAATGGATGATCTTCCTAGAAGGAAGTGAAATATAGATGATGGAATGATTCTAATACAGCGTACAATGTGCCCAGCAACCAGTGTCCGTGTTGGCAATATAGTCTCAACACACAAAATCTTTCACATACTAGTAATACATGTAACAAGCATTTTATCAGTTTTAGAATGACTTCAACAATGTAATTACAAGGCAAAAAAAGGTGTACTTTGGAAATGCTTTCTAGGCAAATTAATGTGTTTGTGGACTAGTTTTATTTGGAAATTGTTCATGAACAGTTTATTGTGTCAGTGAATAACTAGTTTAATTTGTAATTAGATCATGAACAGTTTATTGTGTCGGTGGACAACTAGTTTCATTTGTAATTAGATCATGAACAGTTTATTGTATAGAAACAAAGAAATACTGGAATTCATATACTTAAATATTCTTCAGAAAGGGTGTATCATATTTTGCTGTATTTTGATAGTTAAAATGATATTGTTATATACTGAAAAGTACTAAAGACAAACGTTTATGGAGTCCAGTACATTTTGTCAATTTACAGATCAGCCATACATATCCTTGTTGTGATTATTGATGAAGCCAGGTTTATTTGTTGTTTCATGTCTGTAATTAATAAACCTCAGATTTATGATATGTTTTCTGGATACTATGGTGATATATAGAGTGGGGAAAGGAACATTTGTTGCAAACACTTTATCATTATCTTAACCTGCTGGATATTTTATAAACTTACGCAGAAAAAGTATCCTGAATATTTTTGAGGATATTTTTATGAAGCTGTGTGCTCAGTCTTTACTACATAAAAACATCCCCCCCCAAATAGTCATGACCCCGAACTTTTGTTGTCAGGTTTGTTATAGGCATATGTGGTAGTCATTCCTAAATAATGATTTCTCAATTCAAATGGAATATAAACGTTAAACACTCTCGCATGACAATTCTACATGTAATGATGGTGATCAAACACACATAAATAGCTGAACCTTCTTATAAAGGAACCATCCAGAGCTGAAAACTATAAAATGTGGATTTTGTTGCAATATACTGAAAATGAATTTGGAAAAATATTTTCAATCTAATGGCTGTGTCAAGGCACATCCAGTGAGGATCAAGGATGATAGAACTTACGTCATTGCTGATGAGCAGATATGTAAATCTTGTTACAGTCTTGGGAATCTGTCATCTTCTTGATCCTAGTCTTCGTCCAAGGTATGCCGACATATGCATCATAGGAGTGTACTCCTCTTGGACTTGGATTCCATTACCGATCATTAGCAATTTACTGGGACCAAGGATTATATCTCTACTTGGACCCATGTATATTGATGATGAAATGGCGCTGAGAGAAATGTCTGCTTTAGTTCTATCCTCATACCATTACCATGATACAATCCAACACTTGATATTAATTATCTTTGTTTGTTAAAAATCTAAGTATCTCTTCCCTTCTCCCCACCCCAGCCGAGATGTACATATTTTGTGTTGATAAAAATGCACTTGTAAATTTGTCATAGCATCATCAACCACATCATTCTGTAAAAGAGCAATATGTTTTCTTAATGCATTGTCCAGATCATTAATTGTTGTATATATACAGACACCTGTCCAGTCATTTTGTGTGCATTGTTACAGCATCTACTGAAAGTGGCCATAAGTGAGCTCGCACTTTGTATTTCTTCACAGGATCTCCATTAATACAATGTAGCAAGATAATATTTCCAAGTCGACACACCTTTTGTGTAGTTATGCTTTTCACTTGTACTTACACTTTACACCAAAGAATGCGAAATAAAGTGACCCATGTCACGTTTAGGTATAGTATTAACAGAGAACAAGGTGCTGGGATCTATTGACATTATTTTTGGAAGTGACATTATATTTGCTTCACAGAACCCTGCGGGCTCACATATATAGCTGCTTACACTGCTGTGTTGTAGTAAAATGATCAGTGTATCAATGATCCATTCATGATTCTTGCCATGTCCTCATTATCAATTATCAAGGTCCTCATTGAAAATGAAAATGTAAACCATCATACTTCGGATCTACCTCCTTGATAAGCAACTATAATCATTTCCCTTCAGTTCTTCTACTACTCAATTCTGTAGCCTGAGTATCACCACTCTCAATTTAGGTAATCATAGATAAGAACTGACTTTTGGTGGGGGACACTCATCTTGGATTATCCAGTGCATCGTGGCTCTCTCCTGAAAAAGAGTTCGGCATAGATCTACATCTAAAAGCAAGCCCTCATATTTAAGTGAATTGGAAATCTAATAAATGATCTTTTGACTTATAAAGACATATTCTTGAGTATTAAGACACAGGATGGAAGACCTTATGCTGCAACACATTCGCAGTTGTATTCGAGATGGAACGCAAGAAGGCAAGTTGTGCACTGGGGATATTATTAGTTGTAATAGTATCAAGAGGGGTATGTGTGGCTTAAGCCTCCCACGTTAGGCTTTATACCATGAGCTGAGGTTAACTTGGACTGTGTCACATGACTTTGTCATTGACTGGTAAACAACATGCAGCCTTTTGCTTTGTATCAGGGCATAAGGGATTTTATTCTCCAGCTCAGAAAATCCATGTGCAGCCTGTTTTCTTCATGGTGGGGTATAAAGGATTTATTCTCCCCCTCAGAAAATTATTTCCTTAGGAGGCAGGATAGGCTCATTTATTTCATATTTTTACAGATGAGTCTGCCCTGAATCTTTACAAAATTCAAAATGTGCAAAACTTGCACTTATTTTGAACATCATCTTTACTTTTATTTCAAGAGCATTTTTTAGGAAATGTATGTCACAACATAAAATATCTCTAGCATTCTGGCATCTATATATTAAAGTGAAACAAAACTTTATGATAGGCACTGAAAACTGGAATTAAGAATTATTTCTTTGATAGGTTAATTGCGAGATATTTATCATTGATATGTTATTGTATTGCAGTATGTGTTTCATTGTAAATAGCAACAGTGCTTTCATGTTTTTGTTTTCATATGTTTATCACCTATGTTGAATAATCATTGTTGATTTGTTTGTTTATACATCTATTGAAATTATCATTCAGATGACTTCCAAGAGGTTAGCTTTTAATTAATTAAAACAAATATGTAAGTTTAAACGTAACCATTTACAATATTCTATGTATAATGTATCATGTGCAGTCAGTGGTTTTAATTGTGATTAAGGATACATTTCAAATCATCACTCAAGATAAATCTCAAAATGAAACTGTCATCAGAGCCACATAGTTCTCATTGTATTTGTGAGTTGAAACATAAAGTCATAAAAGCAGAATTTCAGCCATATTGTAAATAATGGAATTTCATTAACACTGAGAACTAACAAGTTGAAATTATCGGATTTGGTACTTTTCTCTTGTTTAGAACAAGTGTATCTTCAAATGGCCTCATTCAAAACAAAAAGGCACATTTGGAATAATATATAGATGTTGTTTTTTTAGACTGACCCAAGTGTGGACATCAGTCTGATAAAAGACTCTTATGCAGATTCTCTCTAGGTGAATTTTGTTCAATGGATAGCACAGCCACCAAGTATGGAATTTGGGGCACCTCGAACACCTCAGAGTTTAGTGGCATCAAATATTTCTGCCTAGTGCATGTGGAATCATGTGATCAGTATTCAAATTTGCATATAGCAAGGACATGTGGACATGACAAGGTTACAAGGATAGGTTTGCTTAGAACATGAAACAGGTTCTACCAGTTGGTGAATATCAGAATACTGTGAAGTACTTAGTCTACATTGTACAATTGAAACACAAAAGATGAAATGTAAATTTTTGTTTATATTCCCCCATTAATTAAAATCTGTACTGCATGTTGTTTATCTCACACAGTAGACTAGACTTACATCTGAATTGTGTATTTCATCCCATCAACACTTTCACACTCGATTCCAGTTCTGTGTAATATTCTGCTCTTTATTTCTGTGCAAAATATTGTTGATTTTATTGTCTTCATTACATGTTAAAATCTGGTGTTAATATTTTGCCCCAAATCTTATTTATTTTGTGTGACCCTTTTGAATAAAACACAGTGTCTTTGTAAATATTGGTAAGCAATTGAAAGATGAATAAATTCATTTTGCATAAATATGTTTTATTTCTGACTGAATAACTTTGTGGAAAGTATCACTCAGTGCAGCAACTCCAAAGTACAGCAGAGAACAACATATCATCTGCTTATGAAAATAAGATGCATACAAATTATAAGCATATATATATCTTATTTTAAACATGGAGAGAAATAGCTTGTGTAAATTATCAAGAGGTCAATTCTTTCTCAATTTGTCCAATTTAAACAACAATGTAAACTGCTGGGCAAAAGACAGTATACACCCATGTTTGATGTTGGCTAAAAACAAACAATGGTTGTCAATGGTGATGCATTACAAACAGTGTTTTGGACCTTGAGGTTGAAGTGTTTTGGCAACTACTTTCAGCCTTGTAATGTTTTAATAAGGTTAAAAAATAATAGTCTTGGTTCTCAGGCACCGCCCGCATCATCATAAAGTCCACCGCACGTTTCATTTTTGTTTCCATTTTTAAAAACATAAAAAAATCCTTAAACATTTCAAGTCCAATTGTAGTCAAATAATGTACCGGTATTCCAGTATTTTACTCATCAAGAAATATATTTATGTAGGGAGGCCCTTTCCCAGGTTGATTGTACAAATTGTTTATTTGGTTACAAAACTGTTTATAAGGTTACATAATAGTTTGAAAATATAAAAGAAAAAAATGACCCCGCCCATGCTCACTATATTTTCAAAAGCCATTTCCTGAGAACCAATTCTTTTATCTTTTTAAGCCTAATGTCTGTAAAAAATTTTTTTTGTCAAATCCAATTTCCAAGTGTTTACTTTCTTTTGCACAGCAGTTGAAGTGAATATACACTACAAGTCAAAACCAGTGGACTGGTCATTGTTTATAATTACAATCGACAAAGGCCAATTATTCATGTTGCCATGAAGATATTGTTTTTTTTACTTTAGCTGCTTGTATTGGACTATGGTTTGTGGTTGCATCGTCATAGTCAATTAGAAAAAGAATAAATATCATATCTATTCAAGAAACTGAGAGACAGGTGAACAGAATATACCTTGAAAGCAAGATAATTTATCACTAAGTTTATTTCTTCGTTGTTTAATCCAGCATACAGCAATATCCATGACGGTGTCCTGTAAGTAATTGAGTATAGACCAGACAAACCAGTGATGCACATCTCACGCTGTTGGTGTTGATGAGATGCCATCAACCAGTCAGTCACTGAGCTTGACCATGTGATCCATTTAGTTGCCTCTTACAACAAGCATTTGAGGCTAGCAAACTCAAGAATGAAAAAAAATGGAAATTGAACAACGTTGTGCTTTTGAGGGTTTGTGTGAACAGTGGATATGCTTGTAGTGCCATGACTAAGCTTATCTTACAGCTGACTAGGGTAACTATATACGGAACACATGAACAACAAACTCATACATTCCAACTTTAACAGAAGTTCAATACATTGTGAAATGATAATGGAATCTGATACTATTTAACAGACTAGAATCTGGGAAGGATTATGCAGTAATGATGAAAACAATGCCATAGCTTATACCTACTGCACTGACCTAAATCATGGGTTCCTGAAGTTGTTCTTGTATCACCAATGTTAAAAAGTTTAAGTTTCTATTGACCACTAGATTTACCGTATTCGACGTAATAAGCGCCCAGTGAAATCTCAAAATTAGAAATAGGGGGCTCTTATTAAAATATAATTTTGGTGGAAAAAAAACAGAATTGAAAGATCTTAGTTTTCATGGTTTATGCTAACAGCCTGAAATGAAACAAAAGAAAAGTCTGTGCGTATTCTACACGACAGATACATTTTCCAAAAATTAATTTCCCATAACTAAGGGTGCATATAACACACGAGTGCGCATTTATACACGAATAGATAAGTTTTGTGTACATTGATCAATTGGAAGGGGTGCTTATTGGGATTGTTCACTTCTGATATATCAGCAAATATCGCCGTGGGCGCTTATGATGTCGAATACGGTAAGTCAAATGTGAAGTCGGAAAACCTCAATGACTGTAGGAGAGCCCCTTTAACTGCTAACACCATACTCGGATACAAGACAAACAAAATCCACAGGTTCTAAAAGTGAAATTGAAATAAATGTTTAACATTTTCTTTGACATACCATGTATTTTGGCTCTTGAATGTGTGTGTTGAAAAGGCTCCAGCTCCCAAAATGAATGATAAATCATTAAATAGAAACCAAACATTTGGCTCAATCAGTAAAACACCACCCTACAGAATCACTCCATGATAGATGGAAAATCAAACACTGCTGCAATTTCCTTCTCTAACCAAAATAACTCGGGTCTTAAACAATTCAACCAGGAGGCATACATACATTTTTCTTTAACAAACTAATAAAGTTTGGGCTGCATCAGTATCCTGTGGGAATCTTGAGGGAGAAGATATCCCCAGTGCAGCCATAGTCACTAGTCTGAGGCCTTCACATTTATTCTTGCAAGCCTAGCTATTGATCATGATAGTCTGTCTATTTAAACTATAATCTACTGAAAATGTCAAGAGACATGTTTCAGCCAAAAGGTTTAAATGCGGTTCACATGCAGATTAATATTGGCATTGTGGTGGTCACAACGAGGGCTGATAAAACTAAAACTCCAAAGAAATGCAGGTTTTATACATAGTTAATCTTATGTAACTGTGCAGTAGTTGTGCTAGAGACAAATTGAATTAGGACATGTTCATGATTTTATCTAATTTTGATAGGACATTCTTCCATATATCTGGGGCATGGGTGGCCCAGACGTCTAAGGCGCTGCGATTCGCTGTGCAGAGTTGCGTCCCTTGGGCACGCCAGAAACCTATGATTGTGGGTTTGAATCCTGGTTCGCCTCGATTATGTTTCTAGGTTTGTCAGCACTGTACCCGTGCTCGTGGGTTTCACCGAAGTGGTAAACGTCTGAGACCTGCATCACTTCGGGCTTTCCTCCCACTTTAAGCTGACACGCCGTGATATAACTGGAATACTGTTAAAAGCGGCGTTAAACCCAACTCACTCACTCTTCTATATATCATTACCAAATCTGGAAAAACATATTAGGGCATTTTAGTTGAAAATCAGTCAGTGTTGTTGAAAATGAAGTTAAGAACCAATCCAAAACTCTGCTGTGTCAATGTAACTGGACATTTAATGTTTTAACAATAACATAAGAGCATAACCTGTACAAAAACATGACCAATAAGGCATAAAAGTTCACAAGCACGAGATGCACATGGCAGCCTTGGGTATAAAAAGACATTGATCAATCATTTCTGGCAATCAGTTAAGACTACTGCACACCAACAAGATCAGGCCATTGGATATTTTCAGGTTAGCCAGAATTCACATGGGATTTCTAATAACCATTTTACTGTCTGCAGGAATGTTTTAACCAAACAGCATCAATGAACGGCCTACTGTAGATAATGCAACTGGTAGCCACATGGTGCTGACTTTGCAAGTGCTGGGAGTATTCTGAACAATGAACATCTGAAAAATATATGGGTTTTTGCACATTCTGAGGAAGTGTCTCATATAACTGGTATTATGTTTAAGTGCTTACATAAGCTTATGTTTCACAATTTGAATTAATATTCTTATTCGGTTTACAGTAATGACTGCACCCGGTATACTTGATGGCAACCTCCATTTTCTTTTGGGTCAATTACTGACTGGCTAGTGGTATTTATAAATGGGATAGTTTGCTGTGTGACAGATATGCTGTTTATTTCACCAAGAGGCATGGTCAGAGCTCAATGAAAAACTCAATTCTAACCATGTCATAAAATTATTATAAATTTCCAACTGCAGGGTTTTACACAAGGCAGAAATGTGTGTCCAGTACTCACAAATGTATAGAATGGATGCAGAAACAAAATATACTGTGTCCTCAAGATGCGCAGGAATATTCATTGTACCAAATTCATGGCAAGAAATATAAAGGTTCTGTCAAAAATTAAATCTAATATCAAAAATTAAAGTACAGTATACTACATAAGTTTATTGCTTTATAGGACCCTCACATTTCCTGTAAGGACCCTTCTTATTAATTATTGGGGTCCCTGTGGACCCCCAGTTTTGTTGGTCAAGTTAAAACCCTGCAGCTGTGTGTCCATGGTTACTTCTCGAACTGTGTAACCAAACCAGACCCTGTAAGGACCCAACTTATATTTATGAAACAGGAAATATGTCCAACTTTAAGAGATTGATGGAAAATTACAACAATATAAATACGATAGTTAAGATACAACTAGAAGCTGAACAAACAATATGAAAACTTGGGACAGTAATGGTATTTTACGAGTGCTTCTCTTCCAAACATTTGGGTATAAAAAATTTCCATACAATTTTAACATCTTACATTTAACAGACAAATTTGATAATAACCAAAGCTAATGGTTATTTAAAGATTTGGTTGTTTGTTTGTTTATTGATTGTTGCACTTGGCAATATTATTAAAGAAAAAACGTTGCTCAATTAGTATTAACATCACTGCCTACAGATGTAACTAGTATTCTAATATTTACATGTCCATGATCAATATGCATAGAATACCTTACAATTAATGAGCAGCATGCAAATATGACTGCATGATTCTTGCCATGTAAGAAAGGTCCTATTGAACTGTTTCATCGACTGTACAAACCTGGCATAAAGTGTCCCTTGATTGATACCATTCGTCTGTCTGACAACATGGTTGAGTACATTACAACAACATGCTCTGGTGCAATGAGTGTTTGTCGTTTGGGGGCAGAACCATAATATGCCGATAGTGTACTCCTATGATAAGTAGGGGATATTATATTCGTTGTGACAGTACTTGTACAGTGGGACTTGGCTGCACCTTTATATCCTGTTAAGGTCCTGTCACTCCTCTATTTCATATTTCAGGGGCCATATTTAAAACACTTGACACTTTGCTGACAAAGAAAGGGCAACCAACTGTAAGAACAAGAGTTCATACACAAGACAGATGTGCCTACTGCTTTCTAGCAATGAACACCGCTGATAGTACAAGTTCATAATTGTAGTATCTCTCACGCTGTGTAAAGAGCTGAAGAAACTGAAGCTAGAAACACACTCAGTCCTTCATGCATGCCATTACTAGAAGAACTTTCAGGGGTTCAAAAACAAACCCAAAGAGAGTACAGCTGATGAGAAACATGCAGCTCCACTCTTGTGCCTGGGTAGTTGTCAGTTGAGCACCAATCATGATGAAGTACACCATGGCACCCAGCGTAAAGACAAGCATCAGCACAATTAGAACTGGCTTGATCCAAAATGGCAGCACATTGCGTAGATCACCACTCACAAACCACTCAACGACATATAGTTCTTCCTCTGTGTATTCTCGGGGCAGAGCATCTGTCACATAGAAGGAGTCCAATTTGTTTTGTAGGTTGATGGAGACCAATTCCTTGTGTATTCTGGCAGTTCTCTTGAGGTGGTCTCTCAGCTCCTTGTCATTTCTTTGCTTATTTCCTATCTTCACATACTGGAGGTATTGTCTTATTGATTTCAGGTCTGGGGAACAAGGTATGAAAGAAGAGCATAAATGTCATAATCCTTTAGCACACAAAGAAAAATATTTAAACATTTCAGGGAGAGTTTGTAGCAATGTTCCCAAAAGTGATTGAGTCAGGTCTTACACGTTAAACCCACACATCTTGAACCTACAGGTATGGATATGGTGCCGACAAACCGAGACACAGCGAATCTGGGAACAAACCCTACAATCGCCACAATGTCCAATGGACCCAACTGTGCCCAGCGAACTGTGACACCTTAAGACAGGTACGCCATCATGATTGACCCCATTCAGAAAGGTGCTAATCAATTTGTTACTTTTCTAACATTGAATATGATCAACTGAAAAGTGTCATCACAAATGTTCATATTTATGCATTCACATGTTTACCTTGAGCAAGTTCCAATATCTCTGATGATTTAGACACAGACTCATTTCCTTGGTTGCTCTGGCCAAACTGACTGTACTGTCCCTTAAACATATGATTATTATCACATTATTGATATATCATGAAATCCCCAAATGTGCATGGCCCATCAGTTGGACTCCTTATATGATACACTTGACTTTGGTTCAACTTTGGCAACCAGTACCACTTCATCCAATGTAAAGGTTATCCATGAACATATTGACAAAAAGCCTTTTTTCATTCACATTTCTTCAACTTTAAAATATGGCATTGTGGTCCTCATTGGAAGTACCGGTAGGTCAGAGTGATGAATAAGTTCACAGCTTCAGACTGATTTGAATACCAGTACTTGAGAAATCGATTGGTCAAATATTAGAAATAGGGAGAAAGTGAGTCCATATTGATCGGACAGTGGTCCCTAGCAATGTGAAGCATTGACATTCAGATGATGTCTACAGAACAATCAACCAGCTACGAGGAACTACGGATTATCCGCCCCAGTGAATAAAGAGTGTTAATCCAAAACCTTGGCTTTGGACTGACTGCATTCATTCATGAGGGACAGATGATTTATAATTCCGAGTTTTGAGTGGGATATTCTGCATATTATGCATTGACTGAGAAAATGAAGAAAAAGCAATATATGCAGTGACAACCTTTCTCAGAGAAAAGTCAGTGAAGGCACCATTTTGTGTAGATGAGGTAGTGTGATCAATTTAACACGTCATGAACAATGGATGACATCATACCATATTTTTCTCAACAATGAAGCACTGTGACATCGGTAGGGGTGTAATGTTATAAGCAATACACAGAGCTACAGATAAGCTGCGTATTTGCGTAAAATACCCCCCAAATATATTCCAAACCCAATTACTTTTAACTAATTTGCGTACAGAAACGCATGCATTAAATGAAAAACTGAAATGTATAAAAACAGCACTCATAAATACCCAATGAAGCTTTTTAAGCATACGTACAACAGAGCTCATTTACAAAAAACAATTACTAGCTAATGTATCCTTTCCGAGTCAAGGCTATAATTAGAACCGTTATATACTCTGCTGCAGAGTATGCTATGTGATAGCACTTCCTCCCAATTTGATAATCGCAAGTACTTTGCTGTCACGAGCTTGAAATGAATTCTAAGCACGTAGCTTACTGTTTGTTGTGGGGAAATAGTGGATTCCATTCACCTAGGTAGAAAATCATTGCAGCGAACGACACAGAAAAATATGTTGTTTGCCTGCATGACCGTATGCATGTAGCAAAACGTGAAGCCAATCAAAATGTGGAAATTATTTTGGATAAGGTTATTTCCATGTGTCTGATCTCTGACTGGTTGGTTAATGCTCTTTTGACACCAGTTATTGACAATGTACATGGAAAGACAGAAACAACACAGAAGTGTTAGTAAACGAACAATCACAGAATGGGAAACAAAGTTTCCATGACATATTTTTGAAAACAAGGGTGAAACACTTTTCATGAGCTGCAGTTTGTGTCGCATAAATGAAACGACATTGAAATTAACCAATGTGTGTGCTTACGATGGAACCAGTATCATTCAAAAGTCCAATATTACAAGACACAACGAAATGACTTTTGTTTTGTTATTTTAGTTTAGATTGTTAGTGAGTAAATGAATCAGATGAATCACCTCCCGAATAAAATAATGCAGTTTGCGTGGTCCGAGTTGCTAAGCAGAACATTTTCAAACATGGTGGATGTTTTGCAATTACTTGGCAGCGCCATCAAGTTTCAATGCATCAAGTTTCAAATACCACAACATGAATACAAACATTTTATCCTGCAGTATACAAGGTACTGGCCTACTTGATATACTGAAATACAGTTGAAAGAGGCCTCTCTAAAACCAAAACACTATTTCATTTCCTTGAAATCTTAAAATGTTTACTCATTTTGGGAAAACCCAATAGAGTGATGAATAGATGAGTGAAAAGATATTGGTTACCCAATGAAAAATGCTGTAAACCACTACATCATTACACCTCTACCAATCAGCATTGAAAAATGCTAAATGCACACGTCCAAATATTTGAAAGTTATTAAACACAGTCACTCGACACTAATGGGTAATATTGGAAAATATAAACCTTTAATTGACATACTTGTCAAAGATGGCTTTATGAAAGTTTACTTCCAATACAACAACTCCTACCTGGCACTCTGTCTTGTAGCTCAACTTTGCATCCTTGGTCGCCTTTTCAACAATAGCTCTGGCCAGAAGTTGCTGAAAGACCTTTTGCAACACAACTTGTGACGACAGTTGTATCTTCTCCACATAGACACAAATGCCTTGTAGCAGGTGTATGTCAAGTTTATTTCTTACCGATGCTACTGTTCCCTTCTTGTGTTGTCCATGTGTCATGAACATCTCCTTCTGAACCATATTCAGGATATGTTTCACTAAAGTCTTTGCCTGTGATAAGCACAGTTTGCGAACTTCCCATTCTGATTCATTGTATTCTGACAAAGACTTGAAAAAGTCACATAGACTCAAACGCTCAAGTTTGAATTTTAAGATGAGACTCTGAGCCAGGAGAACATCTGGACTCATAGGCAGTTCATCAAGCTCACTGACCCATCCTGTTGATGCTTCTTGAAGAATTTGAAGCTCACTGGTGAGCTTAAGATCATGATGTGTTTTCTCAAGGACATCATCACCCATTTGGGTTATAAGATCCAACATTGATTGTTTCAAGACACTCTCTGAAAATACGTACAGATGATCTTGATAATCAGCCAACAATTCATCTGAGGCAGTTTTTATCACAGATTCACATAAGTCCTTCACAGTTCTGTCCAGCTGAAATTCAAACTGAAGGTACATCACTGATGCTTCAAGAACCCTCTGTGTAATGATGTGAGCCTGATGTTGTACAAGTTTCATGTGCTCCTGGTTTTTCACAACTTCCACAGCCCTGTTCAATACGCCATAGGTGATGACAGCAGCAATAATCTCTGTTGTCAAGGTGTATTCATCAATCGATGCAACTGAGCCTGTTTCCCCAGAGAGAGAAATGACATTCCACACAAAGGAATAAATCATCTCACTAAGCCTTCTTTTCATGTGTCTCCTGAGTTCTTGAATATCAAGCTGACTCCAGCACATTTCAATTTGAGACATTTCAAGTACATAACAGAAGGAGTTCCGAATCATGACAAGTGATAGTCCTTTAAGTAGCGAGTGGGTGAGTAACATTTTGTCACTGCTAACTTTTCTACAAGCATCAAGCAATCCCTGACCATAACTTCCTGGTTTGGAGTAGCATGCCATGACACTTGTAGCATCTCTTGAAAGTTGTACACTTTTGCTTGAGACATCTGTAGATATCAACCAACATTCTTTTGGGGTTAAGATCAGTGGTAATGCCACCCGAACTGTCCTGAATATACTATCATCTTCTGTTTCCTCTGAATCCGTTTTTCTTCCTCTATCTTCCACACTCTTGTGAGTTGTGATATTGCAGCCTGCATTTCTTTGTATATGTTGCAGAGTCATACAGCTGTCAATCCACATAGTAACAGAACCACGAGTGTCAAGTGTCTGTCCCAAATAGGGAATGTTGTGCTTGAGACGATCGAACACTGATATATATTCAATCATATGCGAGCTATCTGTATCAGTCTGAGTGTTAGTTAAACTTGTGTTTGTTGGTGATGATTTCTGAACATGTTCTTGAAAGTTGTCTGGAAAACTGTTCACAAGAAATAACATACTGTGATTCAGAGAGTGTTGTAGCTGATGAAGGCATTGTTCCATAACCCTTGTGTCATGGGTAAGTTGGTTAAAAAGCAGGCCTGTTGAAGAAAGCAGAATCCCAGCATAATGCTCAGCCAGAAAAAATGGACTTGAGAACTGAGATTCTGTCATCAGAACTTGGAATAGATTTTTAGCAAACTGTTCTTTATCCACATCCGTAACACCACTACATTCCAGTAGACAACCATTGGAAATGTCCACATGTTCGATTTCTTTGGTCTCTTTTGAACTCGAGAAGAATTTATCATCTTCACTGACCTCTGCAGCAAGTTGTAAAGCAGATATGTGTGCATCAGAATGACCTGACCTCAGTCTGTGTGTGCTTCTATCATCATCTACTGCTTTGGCTCCAAAATTTTCAATGATGGTGTCATCTAATGCAGAGTCATCTACTTTGTAAGATGTTTCCAAGGCGATGTTTTCTTTTTTCAACTCTTGTAAACCATTAAAGGAGAAACGCTTCCGAAGCTTTGGAGAGGGGCTCACATTTCTCAAAAGAATCTCTAGACACCATGATAATGAGACAGCGACAATAACGACAAGGACACATCCAATAACTTCATCATCAGCCAGGCTGAACACAGTGCTTGTGTCCTGTATCATTAACAAAGTCATGAGGTTTGCAGCAAGGAGGACAGCCAGGATGGAAAAGAACAGGATCAGATTTACAACTGTAGAAAACGGACCCAATCTGACAGAACACAACGCCATGGATAACCACTGATGCTGTACACACAGGTTAGATAGATACTTCACGCCCTTGTCCCTGCAAGAAATATGATTTGGTTTAATGAATATATAGATAGCAGAGGTAGAGGATAGCTCAGATTAGCCAAAATACTCAATGAACTTAGATGAGATGAAATTATTTACGGCAAACATTTTCTCTCAACTAAGAAAGTGTGGCTGGACATGTAGTTTTGTCTCAATCCATAGGTCTTAACATGAATTTTTTTTATTATTTCAAGACTCAAAAGGAGAAAAATGTTATCTTCATTTAACTATTTTCAAGAATGTTATGTATTTTCAGCAGTTAATTTGTAACAAAATCTTAAAACTTTCGGCATCTTTCATCATCGACAGAAAGAGGAAGAATAATAACAGTGTTTCCATTCCATGATTCTTGGGATGAGCACTTGACTTCTTCACAGTATCAATGTTATGCAATCCAGGATGCAATGGTTTAAAAATTTTGCTCTGAACATGGGTTTCCCACCGAATTTCCCCAGGCTAATCTCTAGCACCATGTGGAGTAGTCCTGAATTTTTGAAATTCAAATTGAATTAAGTCACCTGAATGTTTTGGCTGTTATTTCACAGGCTGTCAGTGTGACATGGGCTTCCAGATTCTGTACACACAGCATCTTGGGGATGTAGTCATCAGATGACCATAACATACACAATTCCGGAGAATAAACCTCTAGATGTGATGGTCTCCTAATAAAGATATATAGAGACAAGAATTAACATGGACAGTCTCCTTCTGACTGCATAAAGTCTGCAGTTGATAAAAGTACAAGCAATTGAAGGACATAACATGTACAACAAATACAATAAAAAAATCGATGACAAATGAGGCAGATTATTTTGTTTTTGTTTTGACGACTTTGGTTGCACACCAATTTCAATAAATCATTACTGTAGGTGACAGAGTGAATGTTTTTTTATGCCAAAGGCAAACCTGTGGTTGAAATGATGAACGTCACACGCCATCAGGGAATGATGACGTACAATCAACCAGGTGACCGAGCCTGATCACTTGATCCATGTCAGTCACAATAAGCTCCACAGGTAATAAGTAAAAGGCCAATATCTTTCAAATTGTTTTCAAATGTGGCTGTCATTTAATCAAAATTAAACTGGTCATCAGTTTGACCATCCATGCAAAGTTTCAGCTTCATTGCTCTTTTGGTTTGTGAGTCATGATAAAAGATTTTCAGGCAACTTTTGGGGAACCTGCCATGAAATAAGGTCAAGCCAAAGAATTTTTACATTATGGAGACATTTCATGTGAAATAACCTAAAAATCAAAGAGCACTTACCATACAGACTTGACACCAATTTCATTGATCAGTTCAATTCCAACTGCTGTAATTTCTCCTAGATCCTCTGAAAATATTATTATAACTGAGATACTAAAATATCATCCTTCAAATGTAATAAGTTGACTTCATTAGGAGGCATGTTTTTATTATGTCATTCATAATCAAGGGATGTACAGATGTTGTTCATCATCCTCACTTAAAATTTTCATAACATTCGAATTACAATCTTCAGAAAGTGAAAATTAAAGCTTTTTCTAACTTTTGCAACTACTAGTCAGTCCTTAAGCCACAGGGTCTCAGCAAATATGACAACAATAGTATAGCCAAGCTGAATTCATGGATTAGAAGACACTTTTATAGACTTAGGTTTTCTGAAACAGACTGAGATCACAAATGGTTAAATATTTTGGCGTCCACAAACACTACAGTAAGTACTGGTCAGTGTTGTACGTGTTCCAATTGTTAATGTAGGTTTAGTTGACCATATTAATTGCTTCAGTTTTGTCAGGGAGGTTTTAATTGAGCTTTTGCAGTGATTCTGCCATCAACTTTTCCAACATATTGACACATTCAACTACTGCTTGGAATACTAATGGTATGATACAGGTTAAGTCATCAAAGTTCATATTAATGAAGTTTCACTGTAAATATATGAGACGTCCAGGATGACAATCCTGCAGGCTGGCAGTAACACTGTCAGATACATCCTTATCACAGGAACTTATGAACTTGAAATCTGTCCTTCCCATAGTTATTGGGTTTGAAACCTATAAGTAATATAAAACACTATCATTATAGTAAGTTTAGGCTCAAAATGGTAACTATTACGCCAAAATCTGTTTATATAATAGCACAATCATGAAGTGTAAAGGAAAAAAAGATTTATCAACGATCTGCAGCCCAAGAGCTTAAACCATTCATTTCATGTTGCACCATAGTTCTTATCACTACCCTTGAAATTGTCTGTATTTTATACTACTAGGTCTTTACAATAAATAAAGTTTTAAAAAAATCCTAACCCCAGCCTACACTATTTTGGGATGGTCTGAAACATTTAAAACACATATTTTGTGTCTGGGTCTTACCTAAATATATATGTACATACCTGATGTGTGAATGACAAAGATGTCAGTGCTGCCTCTTGTGAGAATGTCTTTTGTGGCCGACATTTTCTTCAAATGAAAAAAAGTTGAGTTGTGAAACTGACCATGAAGCTGGACAAACACCTTGGTAGTCGAAGGACACCCAGAATCTGAAAGGAATTCTTCAGCTTTTCATTCATTGTGGTAGGAGCCCATAAAACTGCAACACAGCCGTTAATTCTTAGTCTTACCATTATTTGAATCTAGAAAATGTCAATCTAAGATTGGGTTTCTGTCAAATAATGTTTGAAAGTTGTAGTATCATATTCTGTATCATTAGATTACAGTGGAATCTGCCTAAACTTGACTTGTGTGACCAAAGGTATAGTCTGGACAAGTGCTATTTTTGCAGGAGTTGTTGCCCTAGCTATCCCTCGTGTACTGTGTTATTGAGCCCTCGAGAAAAAAATTCTGTTAACACTAGGATGGTCAAATGACCATGTATCATTAAATTAAGTTTGAGGTATGTTTTTATTACTTTCTGAATGTCTCACTTTGTGTAGCTTATTGGTGTCTTCCGTGGGCTTTAAGAGTCTACCGGTACCTTGATAACGTCATTAAGCGTGTGGTCACATACTGTTAAGGGGCTCGAAAACATGTGACGTGGGGATAAACATGCGTTTAGACAAAATAGATATATCATTATTCAAGAGTCACTTCCTGTATCTAAGACTTTAAATGCCTTTAATAAAACATATAGTCTGTTCCTTGTAAAAAGTAATAAGAAAATGTCAAAGTTGTAAATTATTTTAAGCATTAAATACTCTTCCTGTTCATTGGTCCTGTTATCAGTGAAATCCAAGTAACCTCTGCAATGCCATAACATTATTAATCCTATAGTAACTTGACATGGGAATTCTTCATATTGCAATTTGAGAATTTTTTTAATGAAATTTGTGTCAGACTTGTGGGTGAATATAGACCGCTGAAGATAACTAACTTCCTGATACTGTTAGCTACTACATTACTTACATGGCAGTAGTGATGTTTTCACCACGAAGATATATTCATGCATTCTCTCGTGTTCTTCTGGGTTTGTCAGTGGCACAACGATGGGCTATAAAAATAGGGAGAAACTTTAAACACATATTTATCCTGCAATGAAAGATATTATTTTAACAACTGGTGTTCAGACCATCTTTCCCCATCAAGGCCAGGTTTTCCACCATACTTTTCCACTGGATGTTTACCCCTGAACATTGTCTTTATTCAAGTAAAGGGGACTATGAGCAGAGTTTTTCTTGCCATATCATTATCGTATGATCTATCTTGCTACCTTGCGTCTCCCAAGGACTGTGGAACATTTCTTCCCTGCCATATTTGTTACCCATGCTTCTTAAAATTCTCTTTTAAAACAATATGATACCTACATTTATAAGAAATATAACCTGATGGCAGTCAGGCTGGGCTAAAGTTTGGCCTCTTTCCACACAGGGGTTTAACAATCTGTTTTACACTCAGAGATAGATCAAAGTAGTCATGTGGAAGTCTCAAAATATTTATCAATATGTTAATTGTTTTTATCTGTTCTCCTGAAGAACAGTGGGAAACAACATTCTACAATTTGTGTTGAAGTTCTATGTGGAACAACCTAGATGCACATGGCGCAGTGCATGCACTCATGTTTAATGACTCTTCTGACATGAATTAAAGCTGATTGGACCTTTCACAAATTATTTTGGCAAATTTGAGGAAGCAGAAGATAATAATATACATCTGAACTTTAAAAAACACAACAAAACACATTGTCGTGGATTGATTCAGAACATTTCGATAACAATAAAATTACCTGTTAAGTTGTGAGTACAATAATATCAGAACAGTCCCACATAAATTATAAACGTGATACTTTCTGTTTAAGCCTGTTACCTGACATCTTCTCTGTAAAAACCCAATCATCACTGCCACTAGATAGAATAGACCAATCACACCTCCAATGTAAAGGAAAAATGTATTCTTGGTTTCTCCAGTTGGCCACAGCTCAGACATCTTTGACAGGGGCAGTTGACATGCTTCTTCATCTTTGACTTTTGAAGAACATAGCTGCAAATATACAACATGAAGTAAATAAACTATTTAAGTCCAACTTTAAGGTGGAATGGACCATGTCGCTAGAATTAATGACATTTAGAAACTGTATTATATCAGTGTTACATAATTAAGGTGGGCCTTGGGTTCTTGAAATTTGATCCTATAGTATTTGAATCTAGGTAACCCCTAAATCTTTGATTTGTTTATTCTTTTAAAGCAAAGTTTGGGTACAGATGCAAGGTTAGATGTAACTTGTCTGTGACTAGTGAAAATCTAGACGGACCTGTTATGATTTCTCCAAATCTAGTTTTAAAAATTGGGGGGGGGGGGGGGGGGGGGGGCGTTGGTTATTAAAAGCACAGTGAGTTAAATTTGTTTGAGGATCTCGAGCGGTAAGGAACAATCTTTGTTCCAATGGTTATGAAACTAAAACCTTTTTGTCTAGGGTTAGGCTAGATACAGTTCTGGATTCTATGCATCTAATAATTGACAGGGCACCCTTCTCATCCACTATGCAGGTACACATGCAGTGGGAAATTAAAGAACTTACAATTTCAATACATTGTCAGTTTGTCACTAGGCTAAATGATGATTTCGCACAGGTAGGTCTGATCTAACCTAGCTTTGTGGACAAATCAAATATTTACTTAGATTGATGTTCATTTCTGCGCTCATTTCTTGATGGAAATGTCTGACATCTTTTTTTTCCAGACTGGGGTAGACCTTTTTGGTCATACAGCCAACTAGGCCTAGTTCGCTATTTTGAAAGGTTCCTTTGCCTAGGCCTAGTGGCCGTATCTTACCTTGACAGGCACCGTTCAGTGATAAAACAAAGATCATAAAATGCGATTTTATCACAAGGTCCATGTATAAGATATACTTTTCGTATCTTACCTTGACAGGCACCGTTCAGTGATAAAACAAAGATCGTAAAATGCGATTTTATCACAAGGTCCATGTATAAGATATACTTTTCGTGACGCTTAAAGTTCTCCTTTCCACATCATTACATTGCTCCCTACCTTGAAGTTGGACACATCATATTTTTCGCAAGTAGGGAACCATGGCGTCTGCACCATACATTCAGAACTTGTCGTACATGCACGTATAAGTTGCTGACGTCGAGATATCTAAAGTCGCATCGAAACGTTCCGATTTCACACGATCTTGAAAGACGGGCGATAACTCTTTCTCCTTTCACACCGGTGCTAATTTGGGACTGCGCATAACACCACGTGACCGGACTTTTCTCTTGTTGGTAAACAAACGCACTCTGAAATCAGAACAGATTGGCCTACTGCAAGCCGTTTGGGGCGCTTTACATATTATTTTGCATAATTATATCAAGATTATGCTACTACAGCAGCGACAGAAATAGAATGTGGTCATTATTTCTTTTAGATGATGTGAGTATCAAAGTGAGTAATTTTTTGTGGATTATTTATCAAAATGTAAATGGAGTTGCGGTATATAAATACTGTATTTAAGAAATAAATGACGAAGGGAAGTTGTTTGTCATGCAATAAAACACTGCAGGGAGAATAAACCATGAGGGGAGATTATCGTGGAAGAATTGTCACACCATGAATGCGGCAATGCTGGCAAAAAAAGATACCGATTGGTAACTTACATAGTTTAAACGCTTTCACTGATCTTTTATATAAAACGGTTTTTTTTAAATATTTTATACAAAACCCCTTCTTTTATATAGGGCTGAGGTCAGGTGTCATAATGTATACAGAGCTATAGAACTGGTCCATCTTTATGCTTGTAAATAATTCCTTGGCTAAAACAGTGTACATCGAGTGTTATGGTATATGGTGGATGTGATATATTACATATTTCAATTTGCTAGAATTCTTAGGTTCTGGTTCAAGATTCTAAAAATGCCTCTTGATAGATTACCAAGAAAATGTTATAATATGATGTTATTGCATGAAAGACATGGAATTCGCGATTGGGTATATGATGTAAAATCGTTATTAAATGAATGCGGTTATGGATATGTTTGGGATAATTAATGTGTGCCCAACAATCTAGATTCGTTTTCAGTTTCTATTCGCCAAAGACTTGAGGATATCTACTTTCGAAAATGGTCATCGCATGTTTTAAGTTCAGAAAAATGCAGTTATTACAGACAGACAGTTTATTCAGTAATTGAGGCATCAAGGCCCATAGTACAATGCAGATTGGATAACATTTGTCACGTGATGTTCATGATTAGATTTTAAATCTAGTTACACATTCCTCATTTTAAAGACATGTTTTAAGAATACAGAAACCGCATGGATCATAACAGGATTTTCAGAGTTAAGCAGATTTATCATTAACTGACGGTCTTTAAAAATACCTTGCAACATTGGGAGAAATTTATACCTTAAATTGGAATACGTTTCACATATAAGTAAGACATGGTATTCATCTTCTACTTCTCCGGATGAACTGTTTGTACAAATAGAGCTCGCAATATAACCGTCTTTGGACCTGCGACATATATGTACATTAACATTGTGTAATAAATTTCTAAGTTTACAATAAGCTCTTATTGGAATTTTATCATTTAAACAAGTTAAATATCTTTCAGTTTGTAACAATGATTTTACTTTGCTGTAATTGCTAAGATAAAGTGATTCAGAAATACTTTGGTGCCACTGTTGACAAAATATATCCTTTAGTCTTTGCTTAAATGAATATAAAAATAACTGTGGATCTCCCACATCTTGGGAAATCCATACATATGAAAAGCCAAATAATAGATTTCTCACATCTGAAACCCAATTATTTTTACCATTATCATCAAGTACCTTTAACATTTTGTAACACTGATATGGGTATCTATCAAAAATATTACTACGGCGTGTTTGCAGTTTTTACACACATTTCCCCAGAATACTATTTGTTTGATATCAATTAGAAAGGATTAAGAATAGCTTTAGCACAGGATGCAGCTCTAATAGACTTATGGTTTACGTAGGCAGACATAGAAACATAACTAGAGTAATGAGAATGTGTGAGTAATGTGATTTAAATGTGATTGAAGATAAGTTTCATTTTCTGTTAGTTTGTCCAAAATACGGCTATCTAAGAAGTAAATATATAGAACTGCCTTTTTTATGTGCATCCCACTCAACAAAAATGTATATCGATCGTGTCCACAACCGATTAATCATACCCTTAAAAAACTATTAATGTTCATTTACCATGCTATGCTAAGTAGAATATGACCTGTTAATTTAACGTATCTGCGACCATCCCCGATGTTGTACTGTGGGCCTTTCAGTGTGGAACAAAACTTATCCTTATCCTTAAATTGCGACAGTGAGGTGCATGACAATATAATCCATCAAAGTGATCATATCGCCAACTCTCTGTAGGGCTTCGATGACAGCACGTGGGGTCGTACAACCAATGTAAATAAAGGATAACTACGCAAATGGAAATAGCTTTTCACGATTTAGGATATTTTCTCAATAAAAGTTAACCATTCCATGACATAATGTTTATCAAGATGTGTAAACTTGACAGATATGTTGCAGAGATGCTATGCTGGCCGCATGGAACTCTGGTGGGTAGGAGAGCGCATTCTAGCATGATGAACACCCTTAACCCAACACATACACTCATCAAAAAAAGAAACGCACTGGCAGTATGTAGTTCATTGAACTTGACAACAAAGAAAATCCGGTATATAAATTTGCTATATGTTATTGGAAAATGTTGGTGGCCTGATATTCGACAAACGCTGCGTCAAAACGCAGCCATTGCTGATTTGCAATGTCTTAAACGGCATTGTTTTCACACTTGTTCAAAAAAAGTCATGGAGAAAAACATTAAAGCAAAATACACGTGCAACTTATGGCATTCGTTACTCGTGGTGCAGCGGCTTTAAAAAGGCAAGCATAAGCTAATAATTTGTCATTCAAATGTCAACATTTTTCAAGTTCGAAAATGCCGAGACTCAGCGCTGCCGATCGGAACATCGCCATTGGACGTATCCAAAGAGGGGAATCGCAGTTTTCTGTTGCACGCCCTTTGAACGTCCACCACAGCACCATTTGCCGCCTTTGTGACCTATACACACAGTTCAATTCCACTGCAGACCGTCCGAGAACCGGCCGACCAAGAGATATCACCCCTACACAGGATCGCTACATTCGACTGTTCCACCTACGTCATCGCAATGTCACAGCTACGAAAACTGCAGGACGCATCCCTGGTTTGATGTGGATATTGGACCAGACTGTCAGGAACCATCTTCGCGAGGCTGGAATCCGACTCAGACCCCCCCCCCCCCTCTCTCTCTCTGTCTGTGTCTGTGTCTGTCTGTCTCTGGGTGTGGGGGTGTAGGGGTGTGGACAATCGTCTTAATTTTATTATGCATAGTAGCATAGCATGGCCGGATACAGGGGGGGGGGGGGGGGGAGTGGTTGCGCACCCTCCCTTTTTATTTCGAAAAAAATCTGTATTTCTGTATAAATTACCACCAAAGACAATAAATAGATCTTAATTGTGCACACACACACACACACACACACCCCCCCCCCCCCCCCTTTTCAAATAAGCTGTATCCGCCCATGCATAGTATACCTGACATGTAATTCGCGAAACAAACTGACGTCCAGATTACACGTTCATTTTATGACAAACTGAGGTATTTTACATAAGAGATATCGTTCGTGTTTTTCGTAATTCTACATAGCCATCCAGTTAAGAAGTTGTGATGGAAGTACATGTAGAAATGAAACAGTATGATCTTAACTTTCGTCATGCCTTACCACTGTTATACGCGTACGTCATCCTGTGAAAGGGTAGAACGTCATGGTTTGGGTTGTAGGGGAAACGATCTATGATATTGTGTAAATGTTTGAAATATATAAACACACAATCTTACATTTCTATAAGGGCTGGGACGAGTCCAAATTTACTACCCGGGTACCCACCCTCCTATTACCCGACCCGGGTACCCACCCTCCTATTACCCGACCCGGGTACCCACTGTATGTCTCAGGAGATGTCTCAAAATGTCCGAATGGGAACATTTTTAGAATAGCCCTGGCAAAACGTACTTGGATACATGTATTAAACAATCTGGTCATTCATACACTGAAGTTGAATTAAGTTATATCTTTATTCAACCATATGAAAAATCAGAAGGAATGGGTGCATAGTCAGAAAGAAATGCAAACATTAGTGACTTGTAGTGTAACCATAGAGTTCTAAATAACTTTTATCAATCATCAACGTATCACGTGACTAACCACGGGTCCGGGTAATCCTGTGGGTACCCGGGTGCTACTTAAATTAGTACCCACCCGACCCGGGTACCCGAGTTACCCGTCCCAGCCCTAATTTCTATCGTATCCGTTGTCGTTTCATTTACGGGTCGTTTTTTCATTAGGAGTGGGGCCGATTCTAATGAGGAGCGGGGCAGTTTTTGATGATGAGTGGGGCCATTTCCGCCAATGAGGATAAGGGCCATTTCCTCCAATGAAAAGTGGGGCCATTTTCGCTAATTAGGAATGGGGCTGTTTTCACTAATGAGGAATGGGTCCGTTGTCGCCAAACAAGATCGAGTGGGGATTTTTTTTTAAATTGACTAGCTGGGCAGCTTTGCCAATGTGGAGTGGGGCCGTTTTCACTGAGGAATGGGGCCATTTTTATCCAGCCACAGGGACTATAAATATATATATTGACCTTCGGATGGGTTAATATTTGTAATTTTCAATGTAAAAATGTACCCTTGATAATCACAATGATGAACCCTGTAGGGTAGGACTAAATTCTATTATTAAAGGGAAACAGCACTCCAACTTTAACAGTATATTGATTTCAAAATAATCTCTCGATTTACATGCCGGGAACTTGACAGAGTTACCTCCCTCTGTTGAATCTTCACTTCTAGAGACCAGTTAATTCAATACCGGAAACGACTAAAAGTTACCCTGAAACAAGCGGTTTTTGTTAATTTTGCAAAAGACTGCTGTTTGCTGGTTTGTTTAACATGCCCCTCGGTGCAAAACCAGCGTGTAACTCTTGTAAAATATCAAATTCGACACTATGGAGGAAAGGGGTTCAAGGTGAGGTGATGTGCAATACCTGCTTTCTCAAACAGTCTGGAA